TTAATGTGAAACAATTTTAGAAGTTGGTATGTTTGTCTTGTAAGTTTAGTAGCCACCACAGAAAACAAAATTGCCACACAAAAGTATATATTTATATAAAGTAGACATCGCAGGCTATTTACCTAAGGTTAGTTTGACACTTTTTACGTAACCATTTCATCGCCAATCTCTGCTAAATATTGGAGTAAAATTGTGTGTTTTCTGTATTTTAGCATATACACATATAACAAAGTTTTTGTAATGTGTATTTTGTAAAGCTGTAGTGTGCTATTCCTGCACAGAACCCTATATTGTTTTCAGCTAAATCTGCTGAGTATAACGATAACCCCATTGTATGCCTTTGGCACTTTTCTGTAAAGCTACAATGCCATATAAGAGACAAGACTATTTCAGTTTCTATAGTTAGAATTTTCCTAGATGGATTTCACGGGCCTATGTCTCATTTTACAGTATTCTAGCAGTGTGACTGTTCAAATAACAGCCCTTTCATTTGATAAAGCAGTCACCCCAGGGTATCTTATTTTTTTTTTTGTAAATATGATTTTTATTTTCATTTTTCAAATCAAGGCAGTCCTACTTCGTTTGGACTCGCAGGTCCATACTTAGTGAGGGCATAGAGTAAATCAGCGACATTGTAAGGTTGGGTAGCAGTGCGGGCTCGCAGGCCCCACAGACAATGTGGACTCGCAGGTCCCTCTTGCGATGGTATTTTATACACTGTTTGGAACAAGCAGTTGAGGAACAGACAACTCATGATATACTCAGTTCATCAGCCTCCTAGCTTGAACTGCTAGTTGAAAACCTAAACTTGGACGTGATACCTCCCCGTCCCCATGCGTTCCGTGATAATTGTCCGTCCTCTCCCCTACTTTACTATGGTCATGAACCGTCTGCCTACATGGCGGATGTCCGCCGTGTGTGGTCTCCAAGTCGCCCTAATCCATGTGGTACTAGGCGATCCCTGCCAAATCAAGGGTACCTTTTACTCGTGTGTTAAGGTGGTCAGGATGGGTAGGTCGTGGTGGGGGGGTATCGGGATAGGGGTCTAGGTTCCGTCGGTGTCAGGGGTCCGCAGCTTGGTGTAGCGTTAGTCCAGTCTCTATTGTTGGGCCTGGGTCTCGCCCAGGAAGCCTGGTTGTGTCGACTTCAGTAGCCAGTGCGTCCATATATTGAGATAGGTTTGGTGTGTGTTATTCGCTGTAGCGTGGAGTTCTTCTAAGGACCTCAACTCCTCCATTTGGGTGAACCAAGTTTTCAGTGGCGGAGTGGTCTGCTGTTTTCAGTGTTGTGGTATGGTAGTTTTAGCTATGTTCAGTATGCGGATCGTCAGTGATTTCTTATATATGGTCCTAGGGACCTTAGTGAGGTGTAGAAGCATTTCTGCTGGGCCGAATGGGGGTGGATCGTCTGAGAGTTGCCCTATAATTTTATGTATGGCTTTCCAGAACGGTGCGATTTTGTTGCATTCCCACCATATGTGTAGGAGCATGCCCGTCCCCTCTCCGCATCTCCAGCACACTGGGGGGTATTCTGGGATATGTTCGTGTAATGCCGCGGGGGTGCAGTACCAGTGTGTCAGTAGTTTGTATGCTGTTTCCTGCGTCTTGCTGAAGCTAGAGCAATGGTGCGTGAGATAGCAAATTTTTTCCCAGTCTGCCTTATTAATCGTACGACCCAGTGCTGCCTCCCATTTCCCCATAAAGCTTGGTTGTGCTGTTGGTGTTTGAGTCAGAAGTGATGTGTACATGAGGGAGACTCCGTGGGTTAACGGGTCTGGGTGTAGGCATATGTCTTCGAAGTATGTGGGGGCTCTCGATAAGATGGGCCCCTGTGGAAGAGTTGCAATGTAGCTCTGGAGTTGTTTGTGTTTTAGGCGTATCAGGAGGTTAGAGTCTGCGTCTCCCCTCATGTCCCTGAGTGTCTTGAGGCCATTTGCCGTATAGACGTGGCTAAGTCTGGGGATTGGGTCTTGGATCAGCGCGTGGAAAGCTCTTGGGTCCAGTCCCGGTGGAAAGTTTGGGTTGTGTATGAGTGGGAGAAGGGGCGATGGGTACGGTGCTAGCTCGTGTCTATCCTTTGTGCGGTGCCACTCTTGCAGAGTAGCCTTGATGTATGGGGAGCATTTCCTCCCCTTGCTCCTGATCCCGGGAGGCAGCCATGGCAGGACCGCGACTGGGACACCCGCCTCGACTTCTTCTGCTTGTTTCCATTGCTTCTGCACCCCTTGTTTGGACCATTCTATTATCCGGAGGAAGTGACAGGACCTATAATTGAGAGTGAAGTCCGGCAATGCCAGGCCTCCTCTATCCTTCGGTAGCGTTAATAGGGTATGTCTGAGTCTTGGTCGTTTCCCATTCCAGACGTATCGCCCGAGGGCAGTGCGGAGCGTGACGAAGAATGTGCGGGGGACTGTAGTGGGGATGGTTTGGAAAAGGTACAGGAGGCGGGGGAGAAAATTCATTTTGACTACTTGTATCCTGCCAAGCCATGAGATGTGTGGGTATGCCCATTCCTGCATTTCCGTGCGAAACTTCGTGTGTATAGTGGTGAAGTTTTCCCTAAACATGTCCCCTGCTTTCCGTGTTAACCAGATTCCTAGGTATTTTATTTTGTGCGTGGCCCATTGAAATGTATAGTGTTGGCATAGCGGTGTCGCCCGTCGCGCCGGGATATCAATGTTTAGAATGTATGATTTGGAGAGGTTTATTTTTAAATTAGATATCCTACCGAAGTCCCAAAAGGCTTTCAGGATGTTGGGTAAGGATACTTCCGGGTTTGTCACGTAAAAGAGCATGTCGTCTGCATATGCCGCTACTTTGTGGTGTGTCGTCCCTGCCATCACTCCCGTTATATCTGGATTGTTCCTAATTGCCACTAAGAACGGTTCTAAGGCTAGAACAAAATGCAGTGGGAATAGTGGGCATCCCTGACGAGTGCCGTTTAGTATGTTGAACGGTGCTGACAACGCCCCGTTAACTATCACTTGGGCAGATGGTTGTGTGTATAGGGCCGTTATCCACCCCATGACTCCCGGGCCCAGTCCCGTACGCGAGAGGGTCTGGAACAGGTAATCCCAGTTGACCCTATCGAAGGCCTTCTCCGCGTCTGTAGATAGCAGGAGGAGGTCTCCGCGCGAGCGCCTGTCCCCGTGCATCAGAGTGAGCGTGCGTATCGTATTGTCGCGGGCTTCCCTCCCCGGTACAAACCCCACTTGATCCGGGTGTATCAGCGTGGGTATGTGTGTCTGTAGTCTGGTGGCCAGTATTTTGGCCAGCAGCTTGAGGTCGCAGTTTATGAGGGATATCGGCCGGTAGTTTCCACAATGCTCTCCATCCCTCCCCTCCTTGGGCAGGACGGTGATGTATGCTGCCAAAGTCTGTTTGGGGAAGTGGTGGCCCTCCCTGACAGCGTTGAACGCTGCTATGAGGGGCTCATATAGTATGTCCGCATAGGTCTTATAATAACAGAGCGGCAGGCCATCCGGGCCCGGGCTTCTGCCGGGCTTTGTTCGCTTAATAGCCGCAGCCAGTTCCTCCGGTGTGATTTCTTCGTCCAGGAGGGACACCGGAGGGACAGGAGGGACACCCTGCCTAATGTGTGTGCCATGTGTGTGGTGAGGTAGTCGTTAATGGTATCCATTAGGTGTTTGGTTGCTTGGGTCGACGTCGGCCTCGGGAGGGAGTATAGGTCCGCGTAGTATGCCCTAATTACCTCTTGGATCTTAGTGGGGAGTCGGTGTAGTGTGTTTTTGTTATCTCGGATACGGTCTATGTACGTCTGTTGTCTACGTTTAGTGAGCATCCGAGCCAGTAATCTGCCACTTTTGTTACCATGTAAGGAGAAAAACGCCTTATGTCGTAGTACGTCTCGGTGGTATCTGGTTTGGAGGAGTCGAGTCAGGTCTCTACGTAAGGAAAGCAGTTGTTCCTGTTGTGTGTGTGTCTGTTCTTTTTTGTTGAGGCTTTCTAGCCTCTGGATGTCTGCCAGAAGGGCGGTCATTTTCGCTTCCCTCTGTTTTTTCAGTGTGGCGCTCCTTTGTATTAGGTGGCCCCTCACTACGCTTTTGTGCGCCTCCCATACTATTGTCGGGGTTGTTTGGTCAGGTGTATTGTTGGTGAAGTACTCTCTGAGGGTAGATTCGGTGTCGGATTTAACTGTGGGTTCGGAGAGTAGGTACTCATTAAGTCGCCATTTAGTCACCCTGGGTCTAAACAGGGGGGAGGTTAATGTGAGTGCTACCGGTGCGTGATCAGACCATGTCGCCGTGCCGTGTTCTGTTTGTACCACCAGTGGTAGGTGATAGTGTGGCAGGAAGAAATAGTCAATCCTAGTGTATGAGTTGTGGGGATGTGAATAGAACGTGTAGTCCCTCTCGTCAGGATGGTGTGCCCTCCAACTATCAACTAGCTTGTATTTGGAGAGGAGAGTTTTGATTACGGATAATTGTTGGGCTGGGACATGTGATGTGCCAGTGGAGGTGTCCCATTTCGGATCCAGGGCCAGGTTAAAATCTCCCCCCAGTACTAGGACACCCTGGGCGAATGCCTGTAACTTGCGAAGAGTCCGTGAGAGAAATCTATAGTGTCTCTGGTTGGGGACATATATGTTGGCGAACGTGTAGATCTGGCCTGCGATTGTGCCCTTCAGGAATACAAATCTGCCCTCCCTATCTGTTTGGACCCCCATCTCCTGTAGTGGTACTCTTTTGTGTAGTAGTATCGCGGTGCCCCGGGCCTTACCCCCGTGATAGTCGCTAAAGTAACCCGTGGGGTATCGGTTGTCGTGTAGTTTGGGTCGAGACCCTTCTTTAAAGTGCGTCTCTTGTAAATAAACTATGGACGCACTGGCGGAGTGAAAGTCTCTTAGGGCAGTTGCCCTCTTTTCTGGTTTGTTGAGGCCCCTTGCATTCAGGGAGAGGATCGTGAGGCTAGCCGGTATGAGCGTCATACTTGGTTGCCGTCAGTCGTGTGCGGTAGTAGCTGTCTTTGGTCCGGGCGTGGGCGGTGGGGTAGGGGTAGGTCGGGGGTAGGGGAAGTGTGGGAAGTCCGCCGCTGTGTCGGCGTTAGGGTAGTGGCGTCTGGGTGGTCCCTGAGACCCGTGCCTGCACTTAGGCCTAGCGTCCGGCCCACCTGTACCTAGCGCCTGTCCCTTAGGGGGGTGGAAGGAAGGCCGAAGCCTCCAAACGGGTGTTGATTCACTGTCGGTGTATGTCGCGAGCTATTCGCTCTACAATTCCACTGCGGTCCAAACTATGTGCACAGTAGGTCTCCCGTGTGTTCCCTGTACGGCTCTGTCAGTCGTGGTGTCACGGGTTTGGGTCCTCGCCTAATACGCGATATGCGTCTGTATTTCAACTTTAACATTCAACATTACTTAAACATTTTAAAAGAGAGAGAAAGAAGAAGAAACTTAAAACATAAGATATGCATTTTGTGCCTGGGCACTGCAGTGGCACCTGTCCCTTGTTGTGTATGCCTGTCCCCGTGTGAACCTGGGTTGTGCTTTCCAGACCATGGTTTTCAGGACCCCCACCTTCTCCATCTCTAACCCCAGATTCAGCACTCATGAAGGTGACCGGGCCCCCGACCCGCCCACCTTTACCTCTAGTGGTTTTTGCTGGCGGTGGGACCTCATCGAGAGTCCGGGTGAGCTCCCCACATGTGTGGGCTGACTATCTTTACCTTCTGAGCCTCTCCTGACCCGTGGGCCTGGCCCGGGTTCATCTGGCCTCTGACTGTGTGTGTCCCAGGGCTAGGTCTGATGCCCGAGCGAGCCGGGCCCCCGACCCCCTGCCTGCTCCCGATGGGTCATCACAGGCACGCCAGGGGGGTGTGGTTGCCCAGCCCGGTCCGGGATCCCCCTCCTCAAGTCCGTGTCTATCTGGGTGCGCTATGTTACTCTCCCATCCCTGCTACTCCCCCCATAGTGTTCCCGTATCCCCCGACCCCATGTTAGCTCTCTGTTCTACGCTTGTCATGAGCTAGCCTACCGGCCACCTGGCCACCAACCCTTGGTATTTACATCGACATTTAGTACTTGCGTGCATGATATTAGGGTCTAGTTAAGTTCAAGTGTCCTCTCCTCCGGCCCAGCTTATTTCAGCGTGGTGGAGTAGCCCGTCTCAAGTCCATGGTGTGCTCGTGAGTCCTGTGCCGGGTGTTCAGTGTAGGCAGGGAAACTCCGTCTCCGTTGTTGTAGTGTTCTCCGTTGGATGCTGTCTCGTGTGTCTCAGTCCAGTGTCGTGTGTGGTGGTTGGAGCCGGGGGCTCGCCGGTGGTGACCTCTGCTCAGGGCAGGATGGGGCGAGGTCGAGTTGTCGTGTCCGATCTGGACTGAAGTCCTTTTCTGTAGGCCAGGTGTGGGATTCCTCTGGGTGGTCGTCTCCGTATCTGCTCTGGGGTTCGTGGTACAGGTGCCATGCAAATGTCCCGTTGGTCTATTGGCCTCGAGGGCCCATTGCCTGCTGGCGTGTGGTCCTCAGAATCTGGGATCCCGTAGCCAGTCTCCCCTGACCCGGGGTTGGTGTGTATAGTGTCAGGGGGTCAGGCCACTGTATAGGCGCTGGCGTGATTCGTAGCTCTCTTGCGAGGGCGTCCATGTCGGCCTTCTCCTTGATCACGTATGGGCCCTTTGGTGTCTGGATTTGGAGCCCATTCGGAAAACACCAGCGATATCTAATTTTGTTTGATTGTAGTTGCATGGTGAAGGGGCGTAGGGCCCTGCGGTATGCCAGTGTTGTAGGTGATAGATCTGGGTACAGTTGTATTTCTGTGCCTTCCAAGGTGACTTTTCCCAGGTCTCTTGCCTTCCTTAAGATCTCTTCCTTCTGTTGAAAGCTGGCTATACAGCAGATGATATCCCGGGGTGGGCTCCCAGGGGGCCCTTTCGGCCGAAGTGCACGATGAGCCCTCACCAGGTTGATTTGAGCTTGTGGGGGACGACCTAAGAGGCCGTTGAATATCCCCGTCAGGGTCTGTTGTACAGGGGTGGCATCATCAGCTTCTTCTGGAACCCCACGGACCCTAATGTTCTGCCGTCTGCCCCGGTTATCGAGGTCCTCCAGGTGATACGCCATTTGCCGGAGTTGTTGCGTGGTATGTTGCAGGGTTTCAGTAGTCGCGGACTGCGCCGATGACACGTGGTCGCAGTCCGCTTCTAGTTGAGATACCCTCTGGCGTAGGCCGCAGAATTCCTCCCTCATGGCCTGGAGTTCCGTCGTGATGGAGGCTCTCAGATCGTTGTTCGCCCTCTGCAGGTCAGTTTTAGTGGGCAGGTTGCGGAGCATATCCACCCACTCGGGGTGCGGCGCTGGAGTGTCTGCTGCCGGTATCTCTGCAGGGCTTCCTCCGTCAAGCGGGGAGGGAGAGAACAGCCCCTCCGAGGCCGCCGAATCATTGGAGGCCTGCGTGTCCGGGTCCGCCGGTGTGATCAGATATTGCCGCAGGGTAGGGTGATTGTTCCCCCTGGGGGTGTCAGCGGGTTTGGAGGCTTGCGACGCTTACGGCGAGGTTTGTGTGGAGCCTGGTAGGGAGCTCAGGATTTACGCCGCCATCTTCTTCGGCTTCCAGGCCACGCCCCCCCCAGGGTATCTTATATGGTGTATATTGTGCCTAAACTTGTCACCATTTTTTCACCAATTTACATCAATGTCTGTGGTGAGGGGGAGAAAAATAGAATTTTTACATATATGTTGCATTTTGTTGAGTATTTCTTGCACTTGATATTTACCACTGTCATAAAAATCCACAAATTTTGCTTAGTATCATCTTCTGAGTAAAACAATATGCCCAATGTATGACCTAGACACTATTTTGTGAAGTTACAGAGCTGTAAAAGAGACGTGACAAGTTCAGGTTTTTAAGTGTGAATTTTCATGGAGGGTTTTGATGCGTCCATGTCCCACTTTGGAGCACTTGAGCAGGTTACATAATACAATTAGACCATAGTCTTATTGTTCTTCCTATATACTGGAGGCCACATGGGCACTCCAATTAATATATCAAATTTTTGCTGTTACAGGTTATATGTGATATGCAATGTGATTTAATATATCAGAGCATTATCACTTTGACACTTAATTTTTTTTATGCATTATTCTTTATGCATTATTATTTTTCTTTTTTTCTTAAATTTTAATGTCTGCTGAGAATATTGCAGGCTTTGCAATATCAAATTAATTTTGCATTATTATATTTACAATGCTCTTACAACATATTATTAAAATTAGCCTCTTTCAGAATTGTAGAATATGTGGTGGAACTGAATCATTTATATTCATTTATATGTTTTATGTGTTTTAAGTTATATATTTTATATGTATGTGTTTTAAGTTATATATTTTATTAGTTCTATTTGATTTGAAACTCGATATGCACTTCTCCATTTTTTTTTACATGCCTTACAGCTATTGCACCTATAGAAACCTTGCTTACTGTTAAAAAAACAAAAACAAAAAAAAAAACAGTTGATATTTAAAAATGTGTGTTTCTTGTGTATTTTTTTTGTTAATTGCATGTTTAAATTGGGGGAGCCTCTAAAAACTACTTTAGGACATTCTGGAATAATATCCCTTACGAGTTTATCTTCTTTGAGAAGTGGACATTTGTTTTTTATAATTGTTTTATTTGTTTATTTTTGTTATAGTCTAGAACAGTGATCTCTGTGGGCACGCGGCCGTAGGGCGCTGGGGGAGGGGGGCGCTGTAGCCCGTCTGCAGCAAGTGCCTACTCTATTTCATGTCGGAAGCAGTGGGAGGGATCTGGGAAGCAGCTCTCCTGCCCTCCCGCAAGCAGGCTGTGTGGAGCGTTGCCGCGCATTACCATGGCAATGCTCCACACAGCATTCTGTGCGTGGGAGGGTAGGAGAGCTGCAGAACCTGTCCTACATACTTACCACCACTGGACCACCAAGGCTGGCTGCCCTCCCTCCTCCTTCACCAAAGGTAAGGAGAAGGGAAGGGGGGATAAAGATTTTATTATTAGAGTTCGCCCCCCCCCCCTTCACACACACACACACACCACCCAGAGCCGTCTTTAACAAGGGGCAAAAGGGATATGTGGACATAGAAGGGGCACATTTATTCCTGGGGGGCCCAAAGCAGCTGCCCCTTGGGCCTGCAACAGTTTAATCAGAGGCCCGTGGCCCTTTAAAATTCCCCCAGACCCGGTTTCTTTCACTTTGTTCTACCGGCCTGCTGGGAGGAAGTGAGTTCAGGACAGGTCACTTCCTCCCAACTTAGAGTGCTGTGTGGGTAGGAGGAGAAGGCACCACATGCAGAGCAGGAGAGGAGCTGAGGAAGCCTGGTGCCTCAGACTCCCATCCGCCTAGGTCAGCCAGCTTCCACTGGACATCAGGGAAGCCACCCTTCTGCATCAAAAGTAAGTAAACAGGAGGGTGGCTAAAATATGTAAATTGTAATTTGTATATGTATGTACCTGTTTATATGAGTTTGTGCATATGTGTGTGTGTATGTCAGGCACATGTGTACTTGTGTGTCATTGTGTACCTGTGTGTGTGTGTCTGTGTATGTATACTTGTGTGTCAGAGTGTATGTGCACCTGTGCGTCTTTGTATGTTTACTTTTGTATCAATGTGTACCTGTGTGTCAGAATGTATATGTACCCATCTGTATGTGTACCTGCTTGTGTAGGTGTACTTGTGTGTCTGTGTACCTGTATGTCAGTGTATGTGTATATGTACCTGTGCGTGTATTTGTATCTGTGTCTGTGTATGTGTGTTAACATGTACTTGTGTGTCAGCGTGTATGTGTACCTGTGTGTGTATGTCTGCCTCTGTATATGAACCTGTATGTATGTGTACCTGTTTGTGTGTGTTTACCTCTGTGTATATGTACCTGTGTGTGTATTTGTATCTGTGTACGTGTGTGTTAACATGTACTTGTATGTCAGCGTGTATGTGTACCTGTGTGTCTGTGTATGTGTAACTGTTTGTGTATGTCTGCCTGTGTGTCTGTGTACCTGATTACACTATAGCACCAGTAAATGCCGCAGTGCTGTACAGATATGCAACCTTTAGATTATAAGCTCACGGGCCCTCTAGCCAAGCACTTTGTATAAAAGTGCTCCAATGGCTAGATATCAGCTTACGGGCAGGGCTCTCTCTACCTCTTGTATTTGTCTGTGTATATTGTACATTTCTCCACTAATTGTACAACGCTGCGGAATCTGTTGGCGCTTTATAAATAGCAGTAATAAATAAATAAAACTAGAAATTTTGACTTGGTGTACTGAAATATTAAGGGCCCTTTGAACCTAAAAAGTTTGGGAACCACTGCTCGAATAAACATACTCCAAGGTCTATGAGAGTTAAAATAGTGGATAATGCTTCGCTTTAAATCAATCAAGGGGGAACAGTGCTAATATATACATTTTTGATAAAATAAAAATTATTAATTTAATTTTTAATAATCTTTAGAAAAATATTATTTTTAATATTTATCACCCCATAAATATCCTTACAGTTTATTGGTGAATAAGCTTGGATATTCATTTATATGTTTTATTTTTGTGGTGGTTTTTTTTTGGGGGGGGGGGAGGGTGGCTTTTTATAAGCTGCTACAACATTATTTACTTGTGTGACGAAGTGCCCTTCGCCACTTGGTCCTGGAGAGGCCTACTTGCCAGCCTCCTCCTCTGTGACTATGACTCTTTCATCTATCTGGCTTTAAAGCCCCTAGTCTACCTTCAGACAGACTATTTATGTGGGCTGCTTTATTTATCCTATGTTTTAGTCACCCTGTACCCATTATAGGTGCAGGGTGTGTGTAATGTAATTGTTTATAGTGTGTGTGTGTGTACTGTGTAATGTATTGCCTGCTCTCTTGTATTGCGGAGGTTTGCTACCAACTAGGTGGGTTTGGCTATGGAGCTGGTCTAGTGCCCTCTGTTGGTAGCAACAGCAATATGCACTACCTGAATTGCAAGACTGGTTCATTTTCATATTCGGGTAGATTTGCATATTGCTAATTCTGCAGGCAGGTGAGATATTTACTGTTAAATATTGTCTCCCCCCACCCCTTTAAAAAATGTGCCATTGTGTTGTGATAAGTCACTGTGTGTTTCTTGATATGGTTTGACTGTTTGTGATTTTATTGAGGTTTCACAACAATGTTATTGTGGTGACTGTATTGGCTGGTCCCAAGGGAATAAAGGTTTTGACAGTTCTTCTTGATCCCTCTAAACGTAGCCTTATCTCGTTATTG